TTGGGCCGCCTGTTTGTGTGTTTTTTTTTGGTGGTGGTGGTGGTGTTGGTGTTTTTTTTTGTGGGGGGGGGGGGGCAGGGGAGGCGAGAGATGGCTGCAGTTCAGAGCCCGTGCTTGCACAGCAGCAGCAGATGCCTCCCTGCCTTCCAGCCCTCGCACCGTCCCCCTGACCCTCCCTCCCTCCCCCTTTCCCTTCCGCCCCCTCTCGCGCAGGCGAGGGCGAGGATGGGCGCATGAAGAGCGCCATCGGCATCGGATCGCTGCTTATGGATGGGCTGGGCGACACCATCCGCGTCAGCCTGACAGAAGACCCCGAGTTTGAGATAGACCCCTGCGGCAGGTGCGTGGTGCTGGGCGCGGCGGCGTGGCATGGCTGTGGGATTGCTGGGTGCTCGTGTGGTGGCGCCAGTGTGGGGCGTGGTGCGGTGACGCAAGGTGCTGGGATGCAGGTGGCGCGATGCCGTGGCGCACACGCCCCCCTCTTGCCGTGTGCGCCCCGCAGGCTGGCCAACCTGGGCAAGAAGGCGGATCAGGAGGGGTGGGGGGTGGATGCGTTTGAGGAGCACCGCGACACGCACCTCTTCACGCGCAGGTGCGGGCAGCCGCTGCAGGGTGGGGGGCTGGAGCTCCCCCACTCGGAAAGCATCGCCGTGCTGCGGGGTGCGCCTCCTGCCTCCCCGTCTAGTACCAACTGCCCCTTCCCTGCGCCTCCTCCCCTCCTCGCCTCGCGCGCAGGGTGGGCACCCTGCCCGAGCAGCGCGAGGGCGACACCGCCGACTACCGCCCGCTGCTGCACCGCGACGGCTCCGTGCTGTCGGTGGTCTACCCCAAGGACCTGGAGCAGCCAGAGTGAGTGGCAGGTGGTGGGGTGGGGAGGGCTGGGTGGGGGGAGATTGCAGCAGGAGAGCGGGGTGGAGGTGGGCGACCGTGTGGCATGTGTGGCGCGGCCTGTTTTCGGTTAGGCAGTGGCAACCGAGCCGCGGCGCCCTGCGCCGGCTGCCCTGTGCTGTGGCCTGCCAGCGCTCCGGCCTCACCCGCCTCCCCCCTGCCTGTACCACCCCCAGGATGATGTACCGCCGCCTGGGCGCCAAGCTGGTGGTGGGCATGCCCTTCAAGGACATCGCCACCGCAGGTGGGCGCCTGCCTGCGATTGGCCTTCCAGCCATGCCACATGCGCAATCAGGGTTGCGGCGTGCACATCTACCCCCACCCCCCACCCTACCCTACCCTGCCCCACCCCACCCCACCGCAGACACCATCCTCATGTACCAGACCCCCAGCAGCAGCGACACCGAGGGCCGCCGCGCGCTGCGCCGCCTCCAGGAGGTGAGCCGCCCTCCCGCTGCCGCTGCCGCCGCCGCCTTCAGGCATGCGTGCCCTTGTGCCGCGTGTTCTCCCTGTTGCCGACGCCACCCAAACGGTTGCGACCTCTCCCGCTGCCCGCCCACCCCCCTGCCTGCCTGCCTGCTTGCTCGACCTCACTGAGCGTCTTGACTGCCCCCCCCCCTCCCCTGCCCTCTGGCCAGGTGGGCGTGCACGTGATGGCGCCTGCCGAGGTGCTGGCCGCCGACCCGCTGCCCGACGCAGTGGCGGTGATGCAGCTGGCGGTGGCGGCCTCCGCGCACCGCGCCGGCGGCGTCAAGGTGTGTGGGGCAGGAGCAGCGGAGTGGCGCGCTGGCTGGCTGCTTGCCGGCGTGCGGGCGTCCCGGCTGGTGGGACTGCAGCGGGTCGTGCTGGCTGGTGTGTCGAGCGTGCCGCGCAGTGCTTGCCTCTCTGCTGTGCTCACCGGCACCGGGGCATGCCATCCCCACCACTGCCCCTGCAGCTGCCCGAGGGTGCTGGGCGGCTAGCTGTGTTCATCGACGGCACTGAGGGCGAGGCAGACCTTGCGACGCTCAAGGTGGGTGCCTGGTGCGGTGTGAGGTGGTGTGGTGTGGGGCGGGGTCTCGCCTGGCATGCAGCGCTGATGCCTGCCAGGGCGTGGCCCTCCAGTGCTGTGCGGCAACATCAGCCGCCGGCGCCCCGCTCGGATGCCCTCCTCGCCTGCATGGCCCACTCCCACCCCCTGACCTATGCCTGTGTCCCCCACCCCTCTCGCGCTCCCCTCACAGGACATGGGCGCGGTGATGGCCCTGCTGAAGACGGCACCCGGCCTGAGCCGCGTGCACTCCTCGCGCCGCGTGTTTGAGCAGCTGCAGCAGCAGGGGGTGCGCCGCCGACTGCGCTGCCTGCCCTGCTGCTGCCGGTGTGCGTCAGGAGTCCGGGCCGCCCGCCTGCCCTGCCATCCAAACATCCTGCTGCTCTCTTCTCCCTTCCCCTGCCACCTACCCTTGCCGCGCTGTCGCTGCTCTGGCCCCCCCCTGTGGCTGTCTTTCACCACCCTGCCTGCCGTCTCTCTTCCCTCGCCTCACTGCCATCACCCACCCTGCCCCTCTCCCCCTGCTCCCCGCCTGCCTGCCTGCCTGCCTGCCAGATCTCCATACCCGTCATCCACCACATCACCTTCCCAGACGGAACCACCCGCGACGATATTGTGCTGCAGAGCGGTGAGGCGCCTGCCTGGGCGGTCTGGTGGTGCCGGGGTCCACACAGCCAGGCAGGCAGCATCTGTGCGTGCCCTCGCTCTGCGCGCGTGTGTTTCCTCCCACTGTGCCCTGACCTCCCTTTAACACACTTATGCTCCACCACCACCACCATCCCCTCCGGCCCCTCGTCCCCGCCCCCGCAGGCAGCATGGTGGGCGCCCTCATGGTGGACGGCTACGGCGACGGCCTGGTGGTGGAGTGCGCCTCAGAGGACACAGACTACCTGCGCACCACAGCCTTTGGCCTGCTGCAGGTGGGTGGGACGAGGGGGTGCGGGTAGGGGCCGGCCGGCGGCGGTGGCCGCAACGGCCGGCAGAAGCCGGCGGCGGTGGCACACGGCTGGCGTGCTTCGCTGCGGTTCTCGCTTTGCGCCCTTCACACGGCGCGCGGTCACCCCCGTCACACCAGCCGCCCAACCGATGCTTGTACGCAGGGCTGCCGCATGCGCAACACCAAGACCGAGTACGTGTCGTGCCCCTCGTGCGGCCGCACCCTGTTCAACCTGCAGGCAAGCGCCGCCGCTGCCGCTGCCTGGCGCTGCCGCTGCTGGGGCCGTCGTCTGCATCGCCGGATGTGCCGCCTCTGCCTGCCCATTCAGGCCATGCCTGCGCTGTTCTGGTTACCTGCACCACCCACCCTCGTCCCTCCCTGCCCTGCCCCCGCCTGCAGGAGGTGACCGACCAGATCCGTACCCGCACCGGCCACCTGCCGGGCGTGTCCATCGCCGTCATGGGCTGCATCGTCAACGGCCCGGGAGAGATGGCCGACGCCGACTTTGGGTGAGGCCCTGCCTGGCTGGATGCAGGCTCCCAAAAGCTGCCTGCTTGGTCGTACCGGGGCTTGCGGCACAGATGCAAGCATGCGTTGCCGCCACGCTGCCGGCTCTGGCCTCCTTGGGTAGCTGAGCGCCGCCTGCCCCTGCCTGCCCTCGCCTGCCCCGCAGCTACGTGGGCGGCGCCCCCGGCAAGATTGACCTGTATGTGGGCAAGGAGGTGGTGCGCCGCAACATCCCCAACGAGAGCGCCTGCGACGAGCTCATCGACCTCATCAAGGTGCGCCCCTGGCTGGGTGGCGGGTGGTGTGTGGCTGAGGTGGCTGGCCTGAACGCAATGGGCAGGCACGCATGCCGCATGCCTAACATCCAGGATGCTCCCGCCCCTCTGTTGCTGCAGGAGCACGGCCGGTGGCAGGAGCCTCCCAAGGAGGAGGAGGAGGAGGGCGAGGCCTCGCTGGCTGCCGCCGCCTCCGCCTGACGAGGCGAGGCGGGAGCGCGGCGGCACCTGCGCTGGCCTGCGCCTTCTCTCGACTGTACTGCAGCACCGATTTTGTTTTCATCCTGTTGATTTTGAGTATGCTCACATCCCCACTGCTCGAGGCGTACTACTTCTGGAGCTGCGCAACCGTAAAACACAATCGCACTGGAACAGGGTGATTCTCCTGGCCCGCTGGCGCCGCCCGCATGGCGGCGGCGCGGCAGCAATCTCCCATGGGGCTGCGCCCGCCGCTGTCGTTTCCTCCCTGCTCCCACGGCGTGCAAGTGCACGTTTTGGCGCTTCCGCACCCCCCGTAGCCTGTTGTTTCGAGTGGCGGCGGCCGCGGCATCAGCCATGGCGCGCAGAGCGCCCAACATCCTGATCACAGGCACCCCCGGCACGGGCAAGAGCACGCTGTGCGAGAACGTGGCCTCCACCACGGGACTCAGGCACCTGGAAATCGGCAAGCTTGTCAAGTCCCAGCAGCTACACAGCGGCTGGGACGACGAGTTCGACTGCCTGGTTATAGACGAAGAGAAGGTGCGGGGCGCCGCGTCGCATGCATGCCGCCGCCGCCGCCGCCCGCTGCTGCTGCCACCGCCTGCTGCTGCGCATCGCGTCAGGCAGGCTGCCCGTGTGGCATGGTGTGCTGGGCGCTCCCAGCAGGTTGTCACCACTGCAATCCCAGCTGCCGGCTAGCTCTCCGCCCCTCCACCACCTGCACGATGCGCGCCGCTGCCACAGGTGTGCGATGCTCTGGAGGACCAGACCGCGGAAGGTGGCTGCCTTGTGGACTACCACGGCTGCGACTTCTTCCCGGAGCGGTGAGATTGAAGCGCCTGACGGGGGACATACGCAGCAGAGGCCGCTGCTGCTGAGGCGACGCGAGGTTGGCTCGCTGTGGCCACCCATGCGCTGCCGGCCGGGTGGTGCTTTCCAACTGGCCAGCAGCATTGCCGGCTGCAGGTGGTTTGACCTGGTGGTGGTGCTGCAGACCGACAACACCGTGCTGTGGGAGCGGTTAGAGAAGCGGTGAGCCGGAGGGGAGAGGGTCAGGCACATGCTGCTTCTGGGGCAGGCTGGTGGTGGACAGACTGGTGCTGGGCTGGTGCTTTGACACTCCCTAGAGTGTGTCCTTGTTGCTGTCAAACCTCCTCGCCCTGTTGCCGACCTGCCCGCCTGCCCGCCCCCCTGTCCCGCCCTGCCCTGCCCCCTCCCCTGCAGCGGGTACAGCCGGAAGAAGATTCAGGATAATGTGCAGTGCGAGATCATGCACGTCATCGTGGAGGAGGCCAGCGACAGCTACAGGTGGGCGGCAGCACAGCGCGCCCGCTGCCGCCACACTGCCGCATCACACAATGCTGAGCTGTGGCGATGCTGGGGTACCCTACATCTTGCACCCTGCACCTTCGCCTGCTTGAGTTCCTTCCCGAATCCTTCTGCAGGGAGGAGATTGTACATGTGCTGCAGAGCAGCACGCCTGAGGAGATGGAGGAGAATGTCGAGCGGCTGACGCAGTGGGCACGCAGCTGGCGGCCCAGCAGCTAGCACAGCGACAGGTGGCAGGCCGGCTTGCTGATATGTACATGCTTCCTCTGCTTGCTTAAAGCTTGCCTGCTGTGTGCTGCGCCGATTCCTTTCCCCTGCCCTCTGTTTCCGAGTTGTGAGCACATTGCTACTGTTGTTGATCCTGGCGCTTGGTGCCTGCAGCGGTCCATCGGCAAAAACCTGGTGCCCCCATCCTTTTTCCTTGCTCCTTTCTGCTGCTCTTCATTTCTCTACCCAATTCTTGTTTACACATCGCAACCGCCCCTGATGTCGCGCCAGTGCAATAAGAGCGCCCAGGCAGCAGGAAGCGGCGCCTGTCAATCGGGAAGGCCGGCGCAGGCAGTGCAGCATCAATCCAAGTTTACAAAACGCCCATAACTGGCTGCCTGTGCCGTGTGCCACAGCTGCAGGTGCCGCTGCTTGCCCCAGGCTTCACAGTAGGGCTTTAGCTGCTGCCTTGCCGGCCGCCTTGGCTGCTGCCCCCGCGGGCAGCCGCGCCAGCCAGGCATTCAGCGGGAACTGCAGGATGGCCAGCCCCAGCAGCAGGTAGTTGTGGCGGGTGCTGTCGATGCCTGCAGGGGGCAGCGCGCAGGGGCAGTGGGGGCGTTGCAAGGGCAGCTCGGACTAGACAAAACTGCTCCCAGTTGGAGCACGGACACGCTGCCGCCACTGCAGCCGCACTCACTGTAGGTGCGCGCCTCCTGGAAGATTACTCGCTTCATGGTGCGCACCAGGAAAACGGCGGCGCACAGCGAGCCATACGCCCACACCGCGTGGTAAGTGGTGCCGCCGCCTGCAGGCAGGGGAGAGGCGGGCACAGAAGGGTCGCGGAAGAGGGCAGGCTCCAGCTCAGGCCGTCTTGGGATCTTTGAAGGCAGAGACGGATCCCGGCTTAGCACTGCGATGCGCTGCCAGTCTGCCAGTCCGCCCGCCCACAGCCGCAGCCGCCTACCTGTGACCAGCTGCGCCACCAGCGAGGCGCAAGCGGCGGCAAAGGGGTAGCCGGCATATGCGGCCAGCTCCAGGAAGGGCACGGCTGCAGAGCAGGGGAGCGGGAGTAGCAGTTGAGATGGTGTGTGCTGGCATTACGTGTGCCGACAAGGAGCAGCAGGCCAAGGGATGCACCGGGGCAGGCTGGCGGCGGGCAGGCGCCCCAGGCCCACCCACCTCCGGGTATTCCCAGCATGTACAGCAGCACCTTGAGCAGCAGCGTGTGCAGCAGCCAGGCCACGCCACTGCTGCTGACCTGCAGGCAGGGCAGGTGGGCAGGGCGACGCAGCAGCGGAGACAGTCAGCTCCTGGCCCCGCTGCTGTCTGGCGCTGGCCGTCTCCAGCCAGCCCGCCGCCTGGGCCCCACCACCGCCCTCACCGAGTTGTAGATGCTCTCCGGCCTGAAGCCGCCCTCGGGCCCCGCCCGCACCAGGATGGCTCCCCCCATCAGCACGCAGTACAGCCAGATGGACATGAGGGGGATGTACAGGTCTGCGGCAGAGGCAGGGCGTGCAGGCGTGGGTGATGCGGAGTGCGCATTGTGGTGGTAGGCGAGGGACGGGGCAAGGGCACGGCACCCACGGCACTGGTGGCGGCTTGCCTGGAGCGTTGACGTCCTGGCGGGGCGGCAGGTACTTGTGGCCGCCGCTGATCTGCGGCAGGGCGGGGCAGATTCAGCGCGTCAGTCGCCGGCAGCAGCTGGGGAGCGGCACAGCAACAGAGCTGGCGTGCCTGCTCGGCCTGCTCCCCCACCCCCAGCGACAAGCGCCCACACCTGCTCCGCCACCCGCACGTAGCTCCAGCGCTTGAGGAAGGGAGCCAGCAGCATCAGCAGCTTGGTGCGCACTGCGCGGCGGCAGGACGCGGGCGCAGCAGGGCACAGGTGAGCACAGGGGCCCAACCGCAGGCGGGCTCCGAGTTGGCAATGTGCGAAGCCTGCCGCCCTGCAGCGCTGCCCCGCAGCCTGCCCCCGCCTGCCACACGCACCGTACTCGGGGTTGATGCTGAAGCAGTAGTGCAGGCCCCCTCCCGACAGGAAACCCATCTTGGACTGCATGAAGGCCTGGCCGCGCTGCAGGTATGACTGGCCCTGCTGGCGCAGCATGTTGCCCGCCACGCCCGTAAGAAAGGGGTCCATGCCGCCCATGCCGCCTGGCCCGGCAGCACCGTAGCCAGCGCCAGCCGTGGAGGGGACAAAGGTGCCCGCAGCGGGCTGAATGGGGGCGCCATAAGCGGCGGGCTGTGCAGGGGCGCCGTACCCGCCCGCGTGCGCGGCCGGCTGCAGCGGGGTGGCGGTGGCCGAGGGGCAGGCAGCAACGGGTCAGCAAGGAGCGGCGCGGCCCTTGCCGTCCTCCTGCGGCCCAGCCTGCGAGCTGCACCACGCACCTGGTGCGGCACGAAAAACTGGGGCTGCTGGGGCTGGGCCGCGAACTGCTGCTGCTGCTGCTGGTCCGAGGGGCCGGGCACCCAGGGGCTTGCCCCATAGGTGGGGAACTGTTGGTGCTGCATGGATCGCCGACCGGGGAGGGGTCTGGCCGAAGGACAGCTGATCGAAACAGCCGCGCCGCTGGCTTGGCCGATGAAGATGGCACACAACCTGGACCTTAAACCGGGCTGCGGTGTGCTCCTCAGGGCGCTGAAAACCTGAAGAAAGGGTTTGCCAGCGAGGATGGCCTGGCAGGAAGGTCTCTCGGGCAATCCAGACCTCTGGAAGTATTGCATGGCCGGTCTTATGCATATTGCCGCATAGCAGGTCAGCAATGCAGGGCATGGCTGGGGAGCGCCCCGCTCTGGCCCCTGCCGCGCCTCTGTCACCGGCAGGTCGCCCAGCCAGACCATCGAAACTCAGCAGCAGGCCTGCAGGCCGCTCAGCCGGCCGTCCCAGCCGCCGGCGGGGCGGCGGCGGCGGTGGTGGCAGCGCGGCGTCTGCAGCAGCAGGCAGCGGCGAGGAGGCGCTACAGGCCAGCTTCGAGTCGCACACTGCTGAGTCTGCTTGTCTCCAACCCGCGGCAGAGGTGGGAGGTTCGGGCTGGCTTGTGAAGGCATGCTGGGTGTTCTCGCCTGCGCAACTCGCACGCCCCTCCCCTGCCGTGAATCGCTGTGCCTCTACCTTGCAGGTGGAAGCGCATGCCTTCGTTGCACAGCCGCAGCCGCAGGCGCTGGACACATGGTTACAGCTGGGACCATTCGACGTTGGTGGCGCTGGCCCGTTCCCCACCTCTCCCATCGGTGCTGGCAGCGGCTGGGTGGTGGCGGCTGCGGTGCTGCTGGCGGGGCGCATGGGGCGGCTGACAGCGCAGGAGGCGCGCATGGATGTGCGCAAGCTGCAGGTGGGCGGGTGGGCGTGGGCTGCATGGTTCACCGGGGTGTGGTGGACAGGGTGCGGCGGGGGACGGGCAGCCGCGGCTGTGCATCTCTGCTGCCTGCTGCCGCCGCGTGCTCCTACCTTCATGCATGCCTGCGGCTGCCTCACCTGCTGGCTGCCTCACCTGCCGTGCTGCATGCGTGTCTGCTTGCTTGCCTAGGTGCGCCTGCCTGCCCACTGTCTCCCATTGTCGTAGTTTGAGCGGGAGCGAAGCCGGGCGCTGGGGAAAGAGCTGCTGGCGGCGCGCGACCGCTGGCGTGCCACTGAGGCGGAGCGCACGGCAGCAGAGGATGCACGCAGGTGCGGAACTCAGATGCTGCAACCTGCAGCTGGGCTGCTGCAGTGCTGCGCTGTGCAGGGTTCTGATGCACACCAGTGCCTGTGCTGCCGCTTCTTCCGGCTGCAGGGTGGAGGAGACAGCGGCCAAGGCGCAGGAGGAACTGCGGCGTCAGCGGGAGATGCAGCAGCGCTATCAGGAGGTGGGTGGGAGGGCGGAGAGTGTGTGCGCCGCGTGACAGATACGGCAAGCTGCAGCCATGTGTGGAATCGCTGCTGCCAAGCACTGATGCTGGCCCCTAAAGCCACGTGGCGCTGCCGCCGCTGCTGGCAGGCTGCCGCCAAGGAGGCTGAGCGGCTGCGGCTGGAGCGGGAGGCGCTGCGCAAGGAGTATGAATCGCAGCAGGTGGGCGAGAAGCTGCTGCGGCCTGCTGCGCTTGTGTGCTGCCGTGCCTGCTGTGCCTCCAAAGCAGGAGATGGCAGGGCTCTGTGCAGGTCTGGTTGCACTGGCCTGTGGTCTGAGCGACCCCTTGGCTTCCCTCCTCCTTCACTCCTGCCTCAGGCCAAGCTGGATGCGGAGGTTGCGGCGCGTGAAGAGCAGGAGCGGCTCGTCATCGAGCAGCAGCGGGCGGCGGCGCGCGCGGCGGAAGAGCAGCGGCGAAGGTGCATTTGCCACTGGCAGCACTGGCGTATTTGCCTGCACAGAGTACAGCAGCGCTGCCTGGAGTCTGCCCGGAGCTTAGGGTCTACTGGCGTCCTAACCAGCATGCCGTGCCTGTGTCCCCTGCTGCAGAGAAGAGGAGGAGAGAAAGCGGCGGGTGGAGGAGGAACGGCGGCAGCGTGAGGAGCAGGAGCAGCGCGAGCGGTGTGTACGCTGTGTACACGGCTCTGGCTGCCCCCGCGCCACCTTCCAGCCTGTCCCAAAGCTGGCCTGCCCTGCCTGCCTGGCCCTGCTCTGAGCTTACTGCGTTCAGTCTGTGTGCAGGGAGGAGGCGATACGGCTCAAAGTGGAGGAGCGGCGGCGGTTGGAGAAGGAGAAGAAGCGGTTTGCAATGCGGCTGGAAGGCACGCTAGTGGTGGAGCGACCCCCAAAGGTTTGTGTGTGGAGATGGGCAGGCACTGCAGGCAGGTTTTGCTGGCTTGAATTGGGAGCAGCCACACTCAGCCTGCTTGCCTGCACTGGCTGCACAAGCTTTTTCCAGCCAGCCGCCGACTGACCCGGCCGGCCCTGTGCTGCCCCTCTGCAGGACACCGTGCTTTCGGGCCCGTTGCAGAAGAAGGCCAGTGTGCGGCTGTCCGCCGCCTGCGGCACGCTGCTGGGGGGTCCCGCTCAGCCGCCACCGGTAGATTTTGCGAGCCTGGCGGATGCAGGGGAGGGCCTGTCGCAGGTGGCGGGCGAGGCGTGCAAGTTGGCGGCGGATGCCTACTCCTCCGCCATGCGGCTGCAGGTGCGCCACACACCGCCGCTGTGTTGTTGGCCGGCCCACCAGCCCGCCTAGCCAGCTTGCTTCTCTGTTGTCTAGCTGTTAAGCAAGCTGTACGCTGAGCGGCACGCTTGATGCCTGCCTGACGTAACGCGCGCCTGCCGTGTTATGATGTACTGCAGTCAATGTCTGGGGAGGGGGTGCTGCAGTGGATTGACGACACCGAGCTGCAGCACTGGGCCTTTGCCGCTGCGGTGCGGGCTGCGGTGGCGGCAGTGGCGGCAGGCGATGCTGAGCTGGCAAAGTTCCAGCAGGAGGGCGCCGCCGCCTCCCGCCCCGCTGCATTCCAGGCGTGTAGCGGTGTTTGCTGAGTGGCTGGATGTTTTGCAGGACCACAGCTTGGACTCTTTGCCTTCTGATAGCATCTGGTGCTGCCTTTCCTCATCAGGTCCTTGCTCTGCTGCTCAGAGCTGTCTCTATATTTTGGTTGCCTCTTATCCCTGCTCTGCAGTGCCGCACGGAGCTGGGTGTGCTGCCTGCTGACCATCCGCAGCGCACGGACACGCTGCTGCGGCGGTGAGCTGTTGCAAGCGCCACATTCACCTCGCCCTGCCTGTTCTTATCTGCTGTCCACGGCTGCAAGATTTGCCCACTTCCTCCGCCATCCATCACCCTAGTTGCATGCACCATGCGCTGCACCGCTGCCGCGCAGTGTGATTGCCAGCATCGAGGGCGGCGACACTGAGGCAGCCAATGCCTTGCTGGATGACATATTGCAAGCGGACGTGGAGCTGTTCCTGAAAGGTGGGCCAGCACACAATCTAGATGTCATGTGCAGCACAGCCGCTTGCCTGTCATTTGTTTTGCTCTATCTGTGTGTTGCCCTTGCCCTGCCAGTCACTCGCTACTTCTTGTGCTGCCACAGAGCTTCCCTCCTGCTCCCGACTGTCAAAGCCTGCCCCAGCCCTGATGGGCACCGCGCTGCTGCTTTCTCACCTCCTCTCCCGCGCCCTGGCTGAGCGCCCCTTTGCCGCCTCTGATGCCCCCGCCTGGTTCGAGGCCACGGCGCGGCTTGTGCGTAGCAAACTGAAGGCAAGGACGGGCTGGGGCGGCTTGCTTGTGCCGTGGCTTAGCAGGGAGATTGTAACCTTGCTGGTGGCTGTCCTTCCGCAGTCGTCCGGAGCACTGCTTCAACATCTTTGTATCCTGCAAATGCTGTGTGCAGGCAGTGGCCAGCCCCGCCGCCCAGGACTCGCTGCAGCTGCCTGCCGCAATAATCTCAGCGGTGTTGGGCATGAGCAACCCGGTGGCAGAGGTGAGTGTGTGGGGCGGTCCGGTCTAGCAGCGTGGATGGCAGCGACGCTTGGCAAGGGAGTTTGGCACGCCTTCCATGCTGAAGATCTCTTGCTGGCATGGGTCTGGGTTGATTGCTTGCCGCAGGAGCTGCAGCTCCTGGCAGAGGCCAACTTGTCGGCTGCGGCCAAGAAGGAGCAGCAGGAGAAGGAGCGGCGCCTGGCATCTGAGCTGGCCGCCAAGCTTGTAGGTGTGAAGGCAGAGCAGCAGGCGATGCCGCCTCGGGGAGCGGCTGGGGCAGATAGAGCAGCGCTGCAGCATATAACAGGCGCTGGGTGGGAGTGGAGGCTTAGAACATACGATGTTGCTGTGGCTGCCAAACTGGTTGTGCAGAGGAGGAGTGGCCTGATGCAGCAGAGACCAAGGCGGCACGGCTGGCAGAGCGGGAGGCCAAGACACCAGTGCCGGAGCGGTGTTGGGCGCTGCGCAACGTCGCAGGTGGGCAGCATTGCTGGCTGATCACGTACCTAGAAGCTGCTATGCCGGCTACGACTGCCGCGCTGGTGCTGAGGTCACCGCTGCGAACTGCTGTTCCACCTTGTTGTGCAGGCACGCTGTCTATGGGCGGGCCAGGGGAGCGAGCTCGCGCGCGGCAACTGCTGGAGCAGGCAGTGCTGCTGAAGCAGCAGTATGCAGGCGCACCCGACCACCCTGGTGCGTGTTCTTTGTTGAAGTCGCGGCGGGGTAGATGTTTATGTAGGCGCGCAGGGGGGCTCAAGTTTGCCCCCTGTCACCTTTGTCTGCTCCTTTCCATGCTCTTGCGCTCGCAGGAGTGCTGCCTGAGCTGGTGCCGCTGGTCAATCTGCTGGCGGCAGACCCCGAGTGGCAGCGCGACGCGGCAGGCGTGGCGTCCCTGATCATGAATTGCCTGGCGGGTGTTGCCGCCGCCTACCGGCGGCGTGGCGACAGCATGTCGGAAGCCATCTTGCTGGAGGCTTCGCTGCGCAAGTGAGCATGCGGGGGTGGGGGCTGGGAGAGAGCATCTCTATGGATGTGGAGATTGCGGGATGCACCATGAAGATGGATTCCAACAGTGGGTGCCCTGCCAGCCGCCAGGCTAATGTGCATGTCTTCTTGGCTGTGCCCCCGGCAGGTTTGAGGAGCTGGCAGGTGTGCGGGCGTCCGCGGTCATGTCTTCCATGCGTGCCGCCGATACGGCGCTGGAGAGCCTGTCAGCCGAGCAACGTTCAGCGGTAGCAGCTGCACGGCCGGAGGGCGAGGCGTGCATCGCCAAGGTGGTGGCCGCTCTGACGGATGAGCTTGCCGCGTACCAGCATGGCGGCCCCGTGACAAAGGTGCAACGGTGGGATGCCGAGGGCGTGCGGCTTATCGGCCCGCTGCACTAGCGGGGGAGGGTGTTCGTGGGGTGTTCGTGGCGGGCACATCCCCATAGCTTCATCAATCATCTATGGCATGCTCGGCCAGGCTGGCGCATGGCTGCCAGTTGCATGAGCGGTTCCACGAGGTGGCGCCAACTGTGCGACCGTGGCAAATGGATTTGCAAGACTGTCGTGCCTGCAAGAGGTTGACGCTAACCAGTGTGGCTGTGTGTCTGTAAACGCCCGGTGGCTTTTGCGTTCCGGCTTGGTTTTAGCGCCGATTGCCAGCATTTAGGTTTTTTAGGGGCTTAGCATCCTTGGACAATTGCCCCCCCACAGACAACATTGAGCCCCAGCCTTTGTGGGCATGTGGGGAGAGCAGTGACTGGTGCTGGTTCACAAACTGGGCATGCAAGTGGTGGGCAGTGACTGGCTGACTGGTGGTGTGCATTCGCCGCGTCGGGCGACTCGGCGCACGCGGCGCGCTTCCCCACCTCATGCATGTTTGCTCACCAGAACTTTGTGATGGGGCATCCTGCTGACCAGCTGCCATTGCTTCAGCACTGCAGCAGGGAGAGGGTGTGTGGCAGGGTGGCTGAGCAGGGCTGTCCCAGCTGTGGTGTGACAGCGGCGCGCGAGGACGCGGTGGCGTCGCGCGCCGCCGCCGCAAAGGTGCCAGGCACCCCTGTCCCTGCATGACTGCACCTCCCAGCCCATTCCAGCAGCAAGAAGCAGTGCCAGGGAGCATGTGTGTGCAGCAGCAGACAGCAGAGGCTGCAGCAGACCACTCGCGCGCGCCGCGCGGGTCGGTGCGCGATCGGGGCGGCGCCGGGCCCACCCCATCCATGTGCAACAGCAATGCATGTGGTATAGCACCCCTTCTGCAGCCATCACACTGGCCTCCTGCCCCCACAGAGTGCATGTGCAGGGCAGTGGTGCAGGCAGGTGCAAGCCAGTCCAGGCATCTGTCGCGGCGGCAGCGCAGGCTGGCGGCAGCGGCGGCGGCAGCAGGGACCCCCACCTGGCCGGCGACGGCGGTTGTTACGGCGCGTGCCACTGGCTTCAGGGGGTGTGGCAGCTGTCGTTTTGAAGGCGATGCTAGCCGTTTGTGGAGCACGGCGAGCAGATTGGCGGCGATCGGGCCCGCCGCTTGCTGCTGCCGCTTGTATCAGGCTCCTGACAGCTGCCCCAAGTTGCTGGCGCAGCGCCTGTGCTTCACCAAGCTCTGCCCCAGCGCCGTTCCGGAAGGCTGCCTGTAGAACGCTGGCAAGCAGGGAGAGGGCTTGGATCGCTGGAGGAGAGTGCAAAGGTCAGGGATTGTGCTGCCGTTGGTGCTGGCGCGGGCCAGACAGTCCGGGCAGTGTACCTCGCTGGTGTAGTGCGGCTTGGCCGGCGCCTAGAGGGCCCTGCAATCCTGCCCGCCGTTGTCAGACAGTTGCACACGCCATGCGCCATCGATTGGGCAGCCCCGGCTGGTGCGGACCTGCAGCCGACACATGCCGCCGCCGCTCCCGCCCCTGCCGCAGGTGGAGGCCATGTGGTGGCAGGTCTGCTCAGTGTACTTTGAACGAACATCAGCCGTCCTTCCCACATCCTCACACATGGTGTGTGGTTGAGTTGGAGTGGTTTGTGGGGCTCCTGAGGTGCTTGGCAAGAAGGGCGCCTCTCGCGTCGGGTTGTTTGCGTCGGCGTCGACGTGCATCAAAGTGTGCACAGTGTGCTAAGTGGTGTGTATGCATTCAATTTGTGCTGTTGAAAGTTTGGCTGGTAGGTATGAGTTTGGCTGGTCGCGCTCGAGCGCACGCGTGCGGTACGCACTCCCCGCCAAGCCGCCGCACTACCGAACAGCGGGTGCCCAGCCAGCTCCCTACATGCACATGGTGGGAGAGGGCCAGGATGGGGCTGGGAACACACACAGGGGGGCTCAGCATGGCCCAGCAGGGCAGGCGGCACGTGCGCACCGCCCAGGCGGTGCAGGCGTACCGCACATGTACCGCGCACGGAGCAGGCGCACCACACCCACCTCTTCCATCATCTCAATCTTGACAGCTCCCTCATCTTAGTGACCCTGACACTTGGGCTGCATGCCTCCACCTCTGGGCCCTGCAAAACACAGCTGCGCCGCGCAGCGCCACGTCAGCGCCACGTCAGCGCCGCCGCCGCCGCCGCCGCCAGCCAACTCACATCTGGATTGGCCTCAATGTTGGGAGTCTCTCACAAATTGGCCTGTCATGGTGTTCACCCGACTCTTGGTGAGGCGCACGTGCCACGGTGCCGCGCACGACTTGGGACATTTGCCCAAGTGAGCCACCACATACTCTCTGCTCCTCACACACACATCAAAGGGCTCAGAGCCCAGCTCTGCAACACCAGGGGGGCAGCCACACTTTAATGCACCACCTGCTGGTCACGGCGCACCGCCGCACGCATGGCGCGCCACGCTGGCGCCACGCGGGCGCCAACCGAGGCGCCGACCTTTCTGCTGGCTCACTCACTTGTGTAGCCCTTGTTCATGTAGGCCACCAGCACGTGCAAACCAAGGCTCACTCGACGTAGCTTCTCAGCCTGCACTCAAGCACATTGCTTGGCTCAGCTCAGCTGGCCGCGCCGCCGCCGAGCGAGCGGGCAAGCGGGCGGGCGGGCGGCGATGCACCCTTGCACTCCATTCATTCCCAACAATCCTCCACCTCCCTCTCCTGTCCTCATCCATGGCAAGCACACCCCACACATCAAACTCCACGTAGCTATAGCCATCTCCATTGGTGCTAAACCTCAGCCGCCGATCGGCGGGCCGGGCGGCCGACCCAGCCAGCGCCGCCGCCTCGACTTTGTTGGCACCCACTATCTGGCTCCTGGGGGCTGGCAACACACACCCAGTCTTGATGTCACGTCTTCTCTTGCTTTGTGTGCTGCTCCTCACACTGCTGGGCCACTGCATCCAACAGTTCTGGCCTGTCACGGCGGCGAGGGCCTCGTGCGGCCGCATCTCGCCCGCGCCGCACGTCAACCGAAGCAGCTGCCATGAGCCCTTGAAGCAGGGCATCACCACCAGCCTGATCAACCTGTCCCATTCTTCACTGCTGATCCACAGCACCACCAGCTGCCTGGCACCAAGGTGCACCTGGGTGCACCGCAACAGCGACGCCGTGCGCCCGAGGCACGACAGCGCCACCCGGTGCCCAACTGTCTTTGCACTCTTCCCTCTTGTCTTTGCCATGCTGCCAGCTATCACACAGCAGCATCTGCAGAATCAGCAGCACCAATGCCCAAAGAATGAAATGCAGGTATGAACAGTGGGGGAGGGAGCGGGCGGCCAGCGAGCTCCCGCCCGCCAGCAAAAAACTGATAAGTGTGAACCAGCACAAAATAACTATGAATCCATGCTTTCTGCAGATTCATAGCCAGATTCTGAGCTACACAAATCAATGACAAGGTCCCAGTCATCACCAGACACCTCTGGCCACTCTGGCTCCTCTTTCACGAGAGCGAGAGGGGCGGGCGCCGCCGCCGGGTGGAGACCACCTGCTGCCAGCTGGCCCAACTGCTGCATCATCTGAGCTTGTTGCTGCTGCAGAAGATGCAGCTGCTGGCCAAGCTCTGCTGGCTCAGGTTGTGGAGGTGGCAGTGGTGCAAGGGCAGGCGCCGGCGCGCCCGTCAACAACGCCAACGGGTCCGCCGACGCTTGCCCTTGCTGCTGGAGTGCTCTCTGCCTATAGTGCTCCATCTGCACCTGAGATTGCCTCATCTGCTCTAGCTTGAATGTGGGATAGTAAGTTTTCATCCACTGGTACAGGCTGTTGCCCATAGACCAAGCCGCGGGCTCGTGGTCGGGCCCGACGCCGCCGCGCCGCATCCGATCAGTGATGAAAATGTGCCTGCTGAACTTGGGGCACAACCTCACCCACTCCTGCACAGCAAACAGCCAGGATGACCAGCAGTGAGCTGGGGATGGCCAGCTGGGATCGACAGCACCAATGAATCCCTCCGCGTCGCGCCAACGAGGCGGCCCCCGGCAGCGACACCCACCTTGAACATTGTGGTGACAGAGCTGGATTGCAGGGGCACACCCTGGTGGAATGTGCAAAAAGCTGTGGTGGTGCCCTGCAAAACACAGCAGCAGCTGGTGAGAAGGATGCACTCGCGCCGCTCGGCGCCGCGCTGGCGCCACGCGGGCGCGCGCACCTGCGTCGCCAAGAGGGGCCAGCACCATCTGAACCAGACATCACACCAGATGAACATGCTGGGTGGCATTGGATATGTGATGGGGGCTCTGTCCCTCACACTGCTGTTGTCAGAGGTCTTGTGGTGGGGGACCAACAGGATGTACTCGCGCCCATCCGCCGAGCGCAGAAAGCCGTTGCCGCGGCAGCCCACCACCTTGCAGCCACCATTTGGGCAGCTGGCTGGCCAGTGGTCTGGGTGGCACAGATTTGCAAACCATTCTGGCCTCCAGGGAGTCAGGTGCCCCATCCAGCAACAAAGCATGACTGCCTTGCCCCAGGCTTTCGCCGCCGACACGACGGCGGGGTGGTCTGGGTGGCTCTCCAGCAAACCAAGCTCTGGGAAGTGAAGTTGCATGCCAGAAGGAATGCCAGTGGCTGGGGAGGCCCCCACAATGCCAGGAAGGGCCTGCAAGGCAAGGACAATCAATGTGGAGCTCGAGTCGCAGCAACTGCGCAGCGCGCAGCCCAGGCCTGTGCACAGGCTTTTTCACAGGGCCCTGCACAGGGCTGGGCCAGGGCCAGGGCCCTGCACAGTGACAGCTGCTATGCATTGCAACACTTTGCAACACTCCAATGCTGCCAAGCTGCCCTGCCACACACATCAAGAGCACCTCGAGCGCACTGGCGGCAGCGACTGCCTGCGCAGCGACACCCAGGCAGGGCCCAGTGCCAGCTCACCTTGAATGCTGTGCATGCCTGCTCCTTCTGCTGCTCAATGAAAGCAATAATTTCTGGTGCATCCTTCCACTGAGCACCATCCATCAAAGCTTTGTAATCAAATGGCACATGATGGCTTATTTTTCTGAGCTGCCACTTCAGGGTGTTCAACATGTCCAGCTGCTCCTTGAATTGCTGATTCTCCAAAGCTGTGTAAGGCACTGGAGATGATGCCCTCAAGAAATGGAGATGCCTGAGTGCTGTGTGGCAGTTTTTGCTCAAGTAATCTCCACCTCTGCCTCTGGCCTTGAGAAAAGAAATGTATCTCAAGAAGCCAGTCACAAACTTGTCCCTGAAGACCCACAAACCCAG